CCTACATTTCCTCTGGCAGGAAATCATTATCCAATGAGTTACGAAGCCGGATTTTACGCTACAATATATATAGATTACACTCTACACGTCAATGATTGATCGTTCTAAAATCCGTCATTAGCGCTCTTCTGTAATTAAATACTTTACAGTAACACAAAAAGAAAAAAAAAATATATATATATATATATATACACACACACACAAACCCATGTCCAATCCATAAACTGAGCAAAAAATAAACAAAACTAAATTTATGTAAATATTTTCAGACAATAAATACAGCAGTAATTGTTTCTGTTGCAGTTTAATCATTACAGACCGTTTGTTACTGTTTTATTTCAAGATACTGACAGTAATAAAGCCACAAAGACACCTCACAGATGATTTCATAAAAGAAAAAATTATTAGAAGGCTGAAAGCAGACCAATCACAGATTTATGTGTCTAGGACACTGAAATCTATTCACTTACCATCTAAAAGAAAAAAAATAATCATAAAGCTTACTTTCTTAGAACTGGAGGAGCAACATATCTCCAGTTCTAAGAAAGTCCCAGCTGGTCAGTCATAGCCCCAGAGCAGACGAGAAGGGTTCCTTTATTTACAGCATCGGTGGGTAGGTGATGGTAATGCAGCGTATGGTGCAGTGAACGAGACACAGCACAACTTTTGCAACACACAACATTGAGATTATTCTGGAGGGAGTCAGCCCCCTTGACCTTGAATCTTTGATTTTTATAGTTTTTCTCTCACCATCAGTTTTTCTGATTGGCCCTATATCTCTTTTCTCCCTTCCTAATTGGTCTCTCTCCTGTCTCCAGGTGAAAACCAAGACCTGTTTTGTAATATGTATTGTATTAAAATGTAAAATATTAGTGAGTCCGCCAGGTGGCGATCGTTGTGATGCATCACGGGAACGGCACCTGAGCGCTCACTTTGGTTGGAACCTTTTCACAATAAACATAACATGTTTGGGTCGCGAGAAAAGTCTGTTTTGAGGCATCTATCTGACACCTTCTGTTGACTCTGATCGGGAATCATTGATAGAACTATATCTTGTGCCTGTAATTTATCCCATTGTTTCTGCTTTCTGTCAATTCAGTATTTTAATGATTGCACACGATGTTTCTTTAATCATCAAATCTTCTCTCTCTTTCCAAATTTCTAACCTAGATCAATCATTTACAAGTGCTCATGTCAGAGTTCCATCTTCCTGGGCCGACATTCCATCTGATCAAACACATCATTTATCTCTGCATGGTGTTTGTTTTGATAAATACAGTTTTTTCCCTCCCTCCCCTACATAACTCGTAGGATATTTGGTCCAACTTGACAATAGTGATTTTTATCTAATATAACTTGTAATTAAGTTTTAATTTTGACCTGTGTCAGAACCTCACAACTGACACCTGTGCACAAAAGAGATAATTTAAGATGGTGTAGACAGTGGTGATATTCGAAATATTCAACAAAGGGTTCGCTAACAGAAAAGTTTTCCTTAAAGCCCCAAGCCCGAGATATCTCGGGCAAGTTACATAGCGTTACATAAAACTCGGGCGTTTGAACCCTCTAAAATTTCTTTTAAATTTTTGGAATGTATTTTAAGTCTCCAAATTTTTTTCCCACGCGAAAGAATTTTATCGCGATTTTAATTTATCTTTAATGACGCACGATTCACGCTTAATTGCTTTTTAATTGTTTTTTAATGAGAGTTTGATATCAAATTTTATTCATCGTTCTAAAGTTGTAGTGCACAAATTTTTCTTCGGTAAAGTTATTTAAAGCTAGTTTCTAATGTCAAAAACGACCTCCGATAGTTTTAAAATTTTTTTAATTAATATATTTTATTATATAGTCTATAAGTTTAATTAAGTCGGGGGGGGTCGAAAATCGCAATAAAAATTTTAATTTTTTAAAAATATACGGCCAGCTAGTATTCACCCTACTATAAACCCATCGCCTCCCGAGACTTCTGAGAGAATGTCCCGGGAAATCCAACTCCAGCTGTGTTCAAGGTCATCCAGCTGTGTAAACAATGACTCATCAGCGTCAGATTTCGCAGAAAGGCGAGACAATGGAAAATAAAATCTGAAGCTTTCTCTTCAAAATTAACGCATTTCTTTCGTTTTTTTCAGTTTTAAGTATATTTTTTATGTTTAATTACATTAATATCAAAAATTGCTAGAGTCCCGAGGGGTTAACTGCTTTCCCTGTGACTTTTTCTCAAGAAAAAACTTTTCTAAATCATTTATTTTATCATTAGGTATTATTATAATAATAGACAGATGTCATCGTTTCTCGAAATACAATATCTTTTTTATTTCGCTGTCGATAGCCCGACACGTGTTCCGCAGCCATCTTGTATTTTCTCGCGCGCGTGGGATTGTGGGATCTCTCGTATGACTGGACCTAGTTTCAAGAACTCTCTTGAGTCGATCGCGATTAAATCTCGTTTCAGTCGAGATTGAAACGGTCGATGGAGGTTGCACCATGGCGAACGGGGTATAAGGCTCTAGTTTAGTAGTGTTACAGAGTATAATACGTATATTTTAATATATTTTTTAAAAGAAACAAAACCACTGAGAAATGTTACGTGTGTTTAACAACGGGTTCGGAAAACTTTGAAAATTTTAACAACGGGTTCGGCCGAACCTGTGCGAACCCGCTGAATATCACCACTGGGTGTAGAGATCATCATCATTGGGCTTTGAATGAATGGGACAATGTTCTGTAGACTGTAATTGGATAAACCTGGTACAGTCTATTGAAAGATTCTCATTGGATTAGAATCTGAAGCAAGTGGGCTATCTGATATAGTCCAATGAACATTGAGGAAAGAGACCAATTTGATGACAGTTGTAGCATGGTCTGAGGTGGCATTATACTTAATGACTGCACTGAGCTTCAAGTTTTGCAATACTGCACAATGGTACAGAAACAAAATTTTGGAACCCCATATGAGACTTTTTCAAGGTGTGGGTACAGATTTCATTTTTATGAACAATAATGCTCATGTACAGTACTGTACAATATATAGGGCTACACTCATCAATTACTTTCTTGATGACAAAGATACTTGTCACATGGAATGGCAGCAAAATCTCCAGATCTAAATCACAAAGAACACGAATGAAGTGATCTAGGGAGATAGGTTGCATCCCTTCAGCCTCCATCAAGAACACTTTAAAGCAGGCATGGCCAACATATGTCCTGCGATTAATCTTTCAATATTAGCTATTCAAGTCAGAATGGATCAGTGAAAAGTTCTAACGCCTAAAAAAAAAGAAAAAGGTCAACAACTTGCTGTCCAGTTAGAGTTAACCCTCCATTACAAATCTCTTAAGTAAAGTGTAGAACGTTGATAAAGCATGATAATGTGTAAAATGTATCTGTAATCTCTATGTACAATTTAGTCTTTACGGGGTGACACTACAATGAGATCTTACACCACCTCAAAATCTTCCTAGGGCAGCCTCTGGTTCGGCCGTGAAAAAAGTTTTCTTTCCAATTTGGCCCGGGACAAAAACTGTTGGCCACCCTTGCTTTAGAGGCTTCAAGATACACTTGTTTGAGAATGAACTTTGCTTCAGAGCAACAGAGCTGACAAACAACATTACAACCAACATGAGCAATTGTGCATGCAGGAAGTAACCATTCAACATATGAATCATTTTCTATGCAAAAAAATTTACAACCATGCTTAGTACATTTTTTGCTGTTTTAGTTTTATGTAATGTAGTTTAAATTTTGAATTGTTTTTTTGCATAAAGAATACAATGTTTTACTTGTATGTCAAGTTTCATATAGGATGATCAATAGTTTGAGATACAGACAAACCAAATTAATGGTCATACTTATTTTTTGGACATGGGTGTATGTATACAATGAAACTAATTAGTGTTCAATCAAGAAAGAATTCAATAACAAAAAAAATGGATTAAATACTATTTAATCATCTAAAAGAAAAAAAATAATCATAAAGCTTACTAAATTGTCATTAAAACCAGTGGTATAACTATTATTAAGTAAGGTTAAGTGACATTTAAGGGCCCATTAGATAAGGACAACCCATACCAGACTTTAAGCACTGTTTCTACAGAATGGTATAACAGAACTTTTTAATTATATAAGAAAAATATTGATATTTTTTGTGTTTGTTCTGACTGGAAACAATTAATTTTAAATACATAAATTTAAATTAATTATTTTAGACACTGTTTACAGTTTAATTGTTCTAATTTTGCATTGTTGCAAAATGATAAGTTTAACGCAGATTCAAAATTCTTCAATTTAAAAAGAAACAATGTGGTCTAATTGTAGTTAGCCAATAATTTGACAAGAATGCTGTCCAATGGAACATCATCACTTAAATATGATATAATTAACAAAAGTAATAAATTTACAATTTTAATTTGGTAGATGTAGGAATATACAGTGGTGCCTCATATAACGTACTTAATCTGTTCCAGGTGCACGTCTGTTAAGTGAAAAGTCCGTTATACGAAACTCATTTTCCCATAGAAATACATGTTAAAACATATAATTCGTTCCACAGCATAAAATAACCATACTGTACCATAAAAAAATGAAAATGAAGCAGTCACCAATTATGCCGGATAGTCAAATGTTGTGAGGAAGAGGTGGAGAAACACTTTTTCACACATTCATACAGATACAGACTTTTTACACATTGCAGCAGGTCTCTTTTTATTGTTTTTTAATCGGAGTCAGATTCAGGAGTGGCTACCGGAGCTTGCAAGGTCAACTCCTCTTATTCCATCCTTTGTTATTTGGCAGCTGGCTTCTTGAAAATCATGTCCAGGGTGGTCTGTTTCTCTCTCTTTTTCAACACCTGTCATAAATGACGGTCAAGGGTGTCATTGTAGAGATCCTGTTGGCCTCAGCTCTGTTTGGATAATAAGTGTTGGTAAACTCCTGAACCTCTCCCCATTTGACAAGGAAGTTTTTGTCAACTTTCACTCCTTCTGATGATTTCTTGCTTTGTTTCAATTGAAACCACCTTTCTGTATTTTTAGAAGCCATGATTTGCACAACACTTGAATAAATGTAAATACCCTACACTGAGGTGATGTACGTAATAAACAAGGGAGCAAGCTGAATCCCAACGGGAGCTCTGTACTTCAGATATACTAATAATTAATTCTAATAATACTAATATAATATAAAAATAGCAGATTGTCATTGGCAACAGCAAAAGAGTGGAAACATCATTCGCATTTGTTCACAGAAAGTCAGTCGTTCGCCTCATGTAACTGCCGAACGGAAAGTCCGTTGTTCAAGTCATGTAATGGTCAAACAGAAAGTCCGTTGTTCGCAGCATCCGTTATTCGAGGCGTACATTATACGAGGCACCACTGTACTTATATATTTTGTATCCATTAATCCAATTACTTAATCAAGATACTGGCTGTAAACCTTATATGATTACTGTGATTATTTTTGTAATTGCTTTGTGATTTTGCTTTTGTGAGTTTTGTAATTTTTCCTCTGCTAATTTTTTGTTAAAATGTATATTTTTTATTTTGTTTATAAATCATTTTGTAGATTATTTTTATAAAGTTTTTTCCCTGTTTTGTTCGATATTAAATTTGCCTACAACAAAAGAAATTTTAATACTGTATATCTACCTATAATATTTTCTAACAATTTAAAAATGTTTAAATTTCTATACCATCATGAATGTGAAGGGCTATACCCTAAGTCTAGGGCCAAAATGGGGTCATTTACCATATTTTGTTTAAGAAGCTAAAATTAATAGTTGTCGCACAGATTATAAAATATAAAAATTCAACAGAACTAAAAAAACTGCATAAAGAGATGATTTTAAAATTATTTATCATCAAAATTATTTATTTTTGATTAAAGATGAATAAGTTAATTATCATATTACATAAATTTATTAGATTAGATAAAAAGCACAATCTTTAGAATTCTCTGTCTAGGAAAGTGTTGAATAGCTAGAAAATATAATTATTACCCTTGAGAAAAATCAGCCAATCCACAAGAGATGTTCCAAGTAATTTGTTGATTCTAATCAAAGAATAATATAAAATCTACATCAATATAAATATTATATTAAATAATTCATTAGTAATAATGTTTAAAAATTTTATTATTTAAACAGATGATAATAAATAACAAAAAACCCAAATTTAAAAAGCATTAAAACGCTCAAAGCTGGCTGGATCCAATGAGTAGGCTATATTTTCAATGCCAATAACATATTTTGAAAACCATAAAGGTAAATAAAGAAAATTTTGCAAATAACTGCACTTAAAATTTAAAAAATATATGCACAATAAGTTATATATTATTATTTTTATACCTTTTGTACATATTTTATTTTAATTTTTTGTTTTATCATAATTATTATTGAAATGTTTGTATAGTTTTTAATGTGTGTATAATTGTTAAAATGGGGGTGTCCATGAATATTTCCTTAATTATACAATAAATAGAGCTGTTCTCAGACAAATTTGTTGATTTCTAGTTGTAATCTTTACTACTGTATTAAAAAAGTGAAAAGTTATAAATTGAATATTTTGGGAATGTAAGTTCTTTTCAAATGAGGAGAAAGCTTCTAAAAAATGTTTAATGAATTCATTTATATAAACTTTTGTCATCTTTAATAAATTTTAATAAGTTGATTGGATTGTTCTATATTGGATTGACAAAAGTTTATATAAATGAATCCAAGACAGAATAACATTTAAATACTTGAAAAAAATACTCATTTCAGTACAGTTCCAGTATCATTTTTTCCATCAAACGTTTTTTGTTTCTTTGATAAGCTTGCTTCAAGTCCATCAAAGATTCTAAATGTCAATGTTCTATATTGGTATGTTTTGCATGAACAGACAATCCAATATAGAATATTGACATTTAGTATCTTTAATAGACTTGAAGCAAGCTTATCAAAGGAACCAAAAATGTTTGCTGGAAAGAAAAATGAGCCTGAAATTGTAATCAAAGGTGTTTTTAAATATCTTTAATAAAATAATATTTATTGTAATGAAATCTCAAATAACATACACAGAATAACTTAGTTAGATAAGTAAAAGTAAAAGTTTAGTTAAAAGTAAAAGTTTGTTTTATTTGTCATCTGTAAAGTTAATGTTTTTTATCATTTATTTAATCGTGTAATTTTTGAAGTGCATGAAAATGCATCATACTTTATCTTGTGATTTCCAAACATATATTATAAACCTACGAGATATCCATTTTTCTACATTATTTTTTAATATTTTACTTTTCTTTTGAAATTTATATTAGTCCATTGTATTTATCATATGTAAATCTTATAATGTGTTGTTGGTTGATGTATAATGTAAATTTCAAATTGCATCATATTCTGTTTTGAATATTTCTTCACTTTTGAATGATCTATCTATGGAATGGCTTGTTTACTTGAGGAAGACCTCTTAATGTGGCCAAAAACGTTTGTAATTTCTATTAAATGTTGTTGAAGTAAGTACATAAGATAGTTTTTGTATGTAAGTGTCAAGATTATGAACTCATTTTACAATTAAAAACAATATTGACTAACCGAAGATTTTCTCATGCACCCCAAAAATTTTTATACACCTTAAGAGTGCACATATGTCAACTTTTGGCACTACTTATCTACAAAGCAAAAAGTTAGAAATTGATCCAAAACTTTTGGACTAACTGAATGATATATTCCTTGTTAATCAAAATTTTTGTGTAAATTACAGTAACAATAATTATTCAAAGCAATATTTAGAAAAATTATTACTACAGTTAACAGTTATACCTCTTTATATATATAAACAATACTAATAGAACAAAGAAAACTATTGAAAATTATTAAATACTTACAACGGTATGATTAAGATGAGCCAAACGGGCTATGATTTTCAAACTTAACGATTTTGTTCCTAGCATGTGTTCTCCAGTTTGTATAGCAACAGAAATTAAACGAGAATGCAACTGGTATTCCATATCCTGTGAACTATATTAAATTATCCTAAGTAAAAGATTTAATTCAAAATAATTATACAGTAATACCTCGACTTACGCTACCCCGACTTATGCGAACCCGGAGTTAAGTGATTTTCAAATCTCGTCGATTCGTCTTTTGTTTGAGCTTCACACAACTCTTGAGTATTCACTCCCCCACACTATTGTTCAGCTTACGTGTTCAGACGTGTCGCGCGGAATCGACGCATAGCTACAATTTATTTTGTGTTATTTATTTCTGTGTTTGTTATATCTATGGAGACTTGAGAGACTATGTGGTGATTTCTTGCAACCGTGAACGAAGCAAAAGGCGAGATAAGATTAACGAGAACATTTATTAGCTTACATACATCTGACTTGGATTTTACACAAAAGACATCTGCAATCGTGAACAATTGACAAAAAAAGTATACATTTATCAGATAATAAACAAAGACTCATTTGTAAACAATTTACCTTTTGTATGTACAACTGATAAGATTACCTTTCAAATTATAAACAGACTCAATCCCAAGCAGTCTTTTGATTGTTGGACATACAAAAGAAATGAATAGATGGTGCCTAACTTAAGCGCGGTTTACAATAACGAATATGATTAATCTTAACACTCTACTATGTCATCCAAACGAAGTAGAACTGATTCTTCTGTATCAAACAAGAAAAGAAAAACTTTATCTTTGGAATGTAAAGCTAACATTATTAAAGACTTCGATACAAAAATGAAAATTTGTGAATTGGCAAAGAAGTTTGATCTACCGGAATTGTCGGTCAGAACAATTATAAAAGGCAAAGAAAAAATTCTCAAAGCTGTGAAAAATGCTCAATCTTTAAATTCAAGCATCATTCGTAAACGTCACAGTATTATTGCTGAGATGGAAACAATGTTAAAAATATGGCGTAATAATCAAGTAAATGTGAAAAATTGTAAAATAATATAGGCCTAATTTCTTATACATATGTATTATCTAAGATTTTATTAAACATTTTTTTCTAAATTATTGTTTTCTTTAGTTTCCGGCACCAATTAAAAATTATTTGTATGTATTTATATGCGAAATTATACCCAGACTTACGCGAATTCGACTTACGCGGTTACCGCTCAGTCCCACCTATCGCATAAGTTCGGGGTATTACTGTAATTCATTTAGGTTTACATAAAAACTACAAAAAAAATATATAAAAATAATCATGTATGAAACTGAACTTTGGAAAATGCTAAAATTCCATGCAGCACCAGCTCAATGGTAACTTGCACCTGAAGAGAATCAATTTTTGCTGTGAAAACTTCCAAATTGTTGTCAATAGAAACCACTTCTAATACTGACATGTTTGTATGAACTATTTATAAGCAACTTTAAAGTACATTTACAGAATTTCATTGTATTGGCTTATTAGTTTTATTTATTTTTTTTCCTTTTGAACATTTTTTTGACCACTCATTTTGCTGCTTGAAGCAGTCACCTTGTCACCTCACCCATCAAGGAGGCCTGATTCCAAGTTTATCTAACTTTGTTTTAAATCAAAATACACTACATTGAAGGAATGGCAGCCTGTTTCCAAAATATAAAAATTTTTGAATAAAAAAACTCATAAAAATATCTAAGTAAAAAACTTCTAGTAAAAAAATGTGACTACAAAAAAATATTTTCCAAGATAAAAGATATTTTCAGTTGTGAACCATCAATGTTGGATCTGGGATATTTAAAAAATTTAGTGTATTCAATTGTGTCTACACAATTGAATACATTAAAGGGGAGGTGATGAGATTTATGTCAAAATTAGCAACAGCTGAAAGAGCATGGGTCTGATCATCAATGAATAGAAGACTATATGGTTATTTCTAAAAAGGGAGAATCCCACAAAGAACATCTAACCATAGATAATATGACATTCAGCACTACGGAATCCTTCAAATACTTAGGGACTGACATAAACAGAAACAATAACATCAAAAAGGAGATAGGGACTTACTTGCTAAAGAGAAACAAAATCTACTTTGGACTCACAAACATACTAAAAAGCAGACTCCCTAGTAAAAGGACAAAGCTAACTGTATATAGTATGAGTTGCTGATTAGACCTGCGATTCTGTATAGATGTGAAACATGGCCAATGACAAAGCAGGAGAAACTACAATTACAGAGATTTGAAAACAAAATACTAAGAAAAATCTTCAGACCTGTAGAAGACTATGATGATAATGGTATCATGGTCAATGAAGAACCAATATGGAGGAGAAAAACAAACCAAGAACTGCAGACAATATATGACAAACCCATGATCACACAGGTGATTAATTAAGGCTGGAAGATTACATTGGCTAGGTTATGTCGTAAGGCTTCCTATAATGGCAACAGCTTCACGAGGGCTCCATTATCAGGAGAAAAGGAAGAGGCCAAGGGGCCGTCCCAGAAAAAGGTGGATAGATGGGGGTCACTGAAGATCTTCAAGACTTCGGAATTGAAGATTGGCAGAGGCAGGCTATAGACCAAACAAGATGGAGAAGGATTGTGGCTGCGGCTAAGGGCCTCCAAGGCCTGTAATACCAGACAAAGAAGAATTGTATAGACACAGATTATTGAAAATGATGTCAGCAAACTGAAAATAATCTGGAAATGCTTGAAATAACTCAGGCTTTTATGAATAAAGGTAAGTAAAGTTGCATTCAGTTGCACAGGCAGAATTTCAAATATATTCTATACAAAACTTCTGTTCTATTGTATATCTTCTTTACAAATCAAATTTCAAGATAAAACTTAGAAATGATTATAATTACAATACTGCATTATGTGAAAAAAAGTAATTTATTTTAGCAATTTCATGATTTTTGTTTACAAGAATTCAAATTGACATTTGCAGATCACAACTGAAAACATTCTTCAATTCAATAAAAATAATTTCTATTAAAGAAAATTTGTTTCTGTAAATATATTCAATGACATATAATAAACCAATAAATTCTAACTAAAAACTTTTAAATATATAATATATTTTGGTTTTATATAAATTAATAAATATGAACATTTCATGGTCAGAGGCTAACATTAGTGAACCCATATTATAATAATAATATAATAAAAATGAATAAAAATTTTACAGATTTTATAGACATTCAGAATTTTTTAATAAAATTTAGATAATTTTTTAATACATACCCATGCCGATTCAAAAATCTTTCTGGTAAAAATGCAGAAAAATTCTTGTAAAATACTACAGCAATATTTATTGAAGTATTAACTGTAAAAATATTAATTGTATTTAATATGCTGTTTTATATAATATTGAATACATTATAAAGTTCACAGTTTTATACTAATAATAATAATATTTTTAATTTTAATCATTGCATTCATCTTGTATCATTATTGTATATTAATTCTATAAAATTTTCAATTCAAAATAAAATAAGTTACATTTAATATAAATAGGAATAAAATTTCTACTTAATAATGCAAGATAGAATATTTATATATGAAATCACACTGTCTATGTGAATAAATTAATTAAAATTTTATATATCTAAAAAAAATCTGTTCAGAATTTCAAATCTATAATTTTCAAATTTTCATCTAATATAGGAAAATACAGTAGAGCATCGATTATCCGACCCCTGATTAACCGTCACATCGGTTAACTGACCGCGTTCTAGTCAGCAAATTCAAATGTCCGCTAGTGATGTGGTGCTACAATATTTGGCTATGTCTTGGCTACTTTAATATTATTTTTGTTAAATTTTTGCGTGTTTTAGCTGGCTACACTGGCTCGACCATGAAAGGGAGGCCAGTATTTAAACGAGACTTAATTTTCTAATTATGAGTGGTTGTTTGTTTTGTGAGCAATAAAATAATTTAAAAATAATTTTTAACAATGCAATAGCGACAATTATTATTTAAAAAAAAATTTGATATGCTTAACATGGAGGAAAATTCAACGCAAAGTAGGTTAATAGCGATATACTAATATACTAATTACATGGGATATAATAATATACTACACTAATAATGGATTTTTTCATACTTTTCAATTATCTGACCAACCCCAGTCCCCAAGTGAGTCGGATAATCGATGCTCTACTGAATTGCAATTATGCTATCTGAACTTAAGATAGACATTAGATAAGAGTTGCAGATTTAAATTTCATAATTGATAGATGTGTGGTGATATATAGGATACATTTGTAAAGTCAAACGAGTTAAATAAGAATGAGGTTTACAAAAAAATGATGCAATTTAAATGTCTAATGAAATGTTCCTAAAATCAAAGTTATGAATGTTGTTAGTGCAGTTTTATCCGAAATATTTTTCTTAGATTGCTTCAGGTGGACAGTTATTTGTATCATTCCACCTTTTAATCCCCAATTTAAACACTCCAATAGATTAAGAAACATCGACATTTCCAGGCACCATTTTCTTCATGAAGTAAACTAACTTTTTCTGAATTTCATTAGAGTTTCACTTGAAATGTCATCAACATTGAGCATGTGTACCAAGTGAAATTTGTACTTTATGACCGACTTGTTAGTAATGAATTTAAATCATTCAACTTTATAAACGTAACCGTAAATACTGCCATTTTTCTTCGATGCTTCATTCATTCATTCTTCTTTGTCTGGATCTAAGATGGCTAGATTTGTAGTTTGGAGAATGTTTTTATGTTTGTTTTAAATAGAATGAGAAATTTATAAAGGAGCAGATAATGACTGACTCTTTGTGCTTTGGAATGATAAGAACAACAACCATTGACTATTACTTATAAGACACTATTGATTTGTTATTTACAGAATAAAATTTTGAGACGAAAAATAAAATAAGAAGACTAAATTTGAATTAATTGCAGAAAGAAGATAAATAAGATCTTGAGAAACAAAAACGAATTGTTAAAAAATTTAAAAGAAAATCCATAAAAAATGTATGTAAAGAAATCACTGGTGAAACCATGTTAGAAAAGTATAGCTCAGCAAAAAACATATAAGTAAAGGAAACTTCTAAAAGTTGTGATATAAGCATACTGGAAGTATATTTGAAAGTAAGACTCAATATGTGAATAAAATGCACATTACACAGGCTACAATTATAGGAAATTTTGAATAAAGCAACATCACCATAATAATAAATAGGAAAAAATAATCATTGGCACAGAAAAAGACTTCAAACTCTACTTTATGCCTTAAAATCATTGCACATACTGTACATTAATTTGGCTGAACATTAGAACATCTTATGTTCTAATGTTCAGCCAAATAGTTCTAATGTTCTAGTGAAAGGAGTTTAGGGTAATGGATTTTGAGTTACTAAGGGGAGATGAAATCAGGGGAGAGGTGGGATGTCTGGGTTTCCTGGTAGTTAAACATGTCCTAGTAAATATTGCATTTATAGAAAAATTATTAGAATTAATTGGTTTGGTTTATTTGACATGAGTGATCTGCCAAGGAGGATGCATCCAAGAAACACTTTTATGTAAAGCTGACCTCAATTTAAGTGTTACTAACATAAAGAAACCTAGAAAACTCCATGTGGCCAGTCTGTTGGCCATGAGCAAACCCATCACTGACTACTGGCGTTTGGTGGTTTTGTCCACTTGGTTATTGGAGGCAGTGCCGGCCCGAGGCAAGTTTTAGGATGGAGCGAGATCCTATTATGGTGCCCTGGGGTGGAATCCCGCCCACGCACTAGATCCACGCGTGTCTCAACAGATAAGGCCATTCACATACTGGCCACATGCTTGCAATTAAAATACCGAAAAATGAAAAAATATTTTTTTCTTCAATTTTCTTTACCACTGAGGCGCCCACTAAGACTTAGTGCCTGGAGCGGCTGCTCCGTTTGCCCTATGGTAGGGCCGGCTCTGATTGGAGGGTATTTATTGAGCTGCAGTTTGAAAAAATTATAGACCTATAAATTCTGACTATCGTCCATCCATCTCTGTCCTTCCTTAATCTTGAGAATGGAGTTAGATAGCTGAAAGTCGAGATCAGACATGGAAATCATAAAAGATCATAGATTACCTTATATACAAACTTCCGATTTGTACCACAAATCAGAAGTTTGTATATAAGATAATCTAGTCCTTTTCTTCAATTCGTTATTTCAATTAAAAAATTTTTCCCTAAACAGAATTAGCTACATGCTAGCACAACTTTATTGTTAATGGGAAAAGTGTGATGTACAGGAGCAAAACACTACTACATTCCACTCAGGCAAAGACTATGTGCTACCTGTCGCAGTAATGGTGTAATTGTGCATCTGTTTTGTGCTATATCATTAGTGCAGTAATTTGATAAATATAATATATATTTTTTAAAATTATATCCTTTTTTGTAAGAATTATACCTAGTTAATTATTTTGTTAATTTTTTTCCAATAGATGGCACTACATGTAAAGCCAGCAATCAAATGTAGACAGAAATTAATCGATATATAGAAATTCAATTGATAATTTGGGATGGGGTATATGACAATAAGTTAGAAGTATTTGAACACAATTGCTGAGTTCTGAGTTTCATAGCAATTGGTGAAATGGCCTAGGCATGCATAGCAAACAAACAAACAAACATCCTAATTTATATATATATATATTATATATATACAATTTATACTTAAAATTTTAAAACTTACTATGATAAAAGTCTTGAAGTAACCAGGTGTTAAAATTTAATTCAATGGAATCAGTCATCCAAGCAGGTAATAATGGATATCCTTCTTTCTGTTTTGATCGAGAGCTACGACTACTTGGAAATGTTAAAATATGATGTCCTTCATTTTGTATCTGACCAACCTCTATAACTATAAAAAAATGATTATAATATCAATAAAAATGTTTGAAAAATAATTTTTGTTTTCAGTTTAATATTTTTAAATATTGTTTTAAATATCAGCCAAATACAATGTAGTAATAATAAATGCATTTTGTCAACTATTAATCTGATCCAGATGCAGCTCTTAGCTGCCTAATATGAGAATACTGAATAACAGTAGTGTAACTAGAACCAATATTAGGTTGAATCTTGTTACAATATGCAAGCTTACATTTATCCTTGTACCACTATGAATGTAACCACTAGCACTATGAATGAAGAGTAAACTTTTATATATTTTGCATTTATAACACATTCATAACATATATATTTTTAGTTTAATTAAAATAAATTAATTCAAGATTTGATGTTTTTGTCTTTTCCATATTAATGCTTACAAATCAAGGAGTACTCTGCACTTCTGCTCTGACTCAGTAACTAATTCCTGTCGTGCAGTCACACTGCTTGTGATAGCACTACTAAACAGTGCAGTGCAATCTCAAGCATTTCATCAAATCATGACATGTGATAGATGAATGAGCAGAACCATTCTTTGAATGAAAGTGTAGAAACATTTGCATAATTGTACAATAGCACTGTACTGTTCTCACAGGAGGATGTGTGGCATGCAACCATCCTAAAAGAATCATTTTTATTTTCTATACTGTTTTGTTCAGTGCTGGTTTTGATAAAAATATTAATTTTAATCATATATAATAATTTATATTCTATGTAACAAAAACTGAAATGTTAAATATATCACTTTTGCAAATTATGCATTCACAGATAGTAAGTAGGATACCTTACAAGTAAGTATAAATCATATATGACTACTTTGATCCATTTCAAAGACACACTGAACCAAAAAATGGTGGGCTTGACAGAGACACCACCCAATGGCCATTTATTCATTAAAAAAAAAAATACAAACAAAAGATAACACAAATCATTGTCACACATGTAGGTAATGACAGGAGAGAAATTTAACACATTATTTTATGATTATCTCTAATAATTTCTCTAATTTGAGAAATACAAACAATGGCCACAATGGCCAATTTCAAAATGCCCTTAAGTGATTCAATGGTGTGGTTCCTGTTTGAATCTGTTACTCATCAAAATTTATTCATTTATTCTGTATTAAGTATTTAATTTCACAATGAAAAGGCCTCAAAAACATTTAATCAGAAATAAATAAGTTATACTCAATGAACTGTATAGTAATTCTTTGAATTAATATAATGGAGTTGATAATTTCAAAAACATTCTTAAGTAAATTATCTATCTTGTCTTTAAATCACTTTCATCGCTTATATAAAAGTGATTGTTTTATAAATGAACATTTTTAACATTTTTTAAAATATCAGCATTTGTAAAGCTGATATTTTAAAAAATACTCATATCAATCCAAATCACAACATTTTTTCTCTATCCAAAAATGACACTTTGGCAATGAAGCAAAGATTAAATTAATTTTTCTCATTATAAACTTGTAAAAATCAACTTTCTAATAAAGCATTTTTATACATAATACTACAAATTAGTGTGTGTATAATTGTGCATAATATGTATTTATTCTTTTAAAGACAATATAAAAATAATTTTGAAATTTTTATCATCTTGTACTTTTATGAAGTTAAGTATTAAAACATACACAAACACACACAAATGGTTTAACTTGCTACTTCCAGCACCAATGTTTAATAGATAATTAGAAGAAAACAAACGTTTTTGGCTGCATTAGTGGCCCTTCTCAGGTTACAAAAACTTTTTTACACTCTTTAAATGCACTTGTATATTTGATGAAAATGTTTTTAGTGAAATATACAAGCTCAATGTATCTGTAAGCAAAAGTGTCTCTGTGTGTTTATCAAACTGTTCTAGATTTTAGGAGTAATCTTGAAACAAAAACAACCTAAATCTTTAAAATTAACTAATAATTGCTAAAAGTTTAACCAGTTTATGTATATTTCCTGAATTATTGAATTATTAAAGAAGAAATCATGAAAGATGTCAAGTTTTATTTGGAAAATGCTAATTGACAAAACTTTTTAATGTTGTTTAAAAAGATATAGATAAATGCAATCAATATATAAATTCATCATAAACATACTGTACTTAATAAATATAAAACACTTCAACAGTTATAAATAAGTTAAATATGTGTTAATAATATATATAATAAATTAAAAATATGTGTTAGTAATTACTAAATATAAATATTCTTCGCTCAGTAAAATGAATAATTTTCAATTTTATATTATATTTGCATGTGAAATCTAATTATTATCTCAAAGATTTAATTGAAATTTTAATGTCAAAAAGTCATTTCTTGCTTGTCAAAACACTTTTTTATTATTGAAGAAAGGAAGAAGAAACAATGTCTCACAATTTTGTAACATTACAATTGTAAAATAATAATATTTATGTATATAACTCCTATTTCAAATGTATAAAATCTAAAAAGTGACTACTGTATTTTGTCTTTATAACACATATAACTAGCATATACAATACAGTCATGTGCTTCATTTTTAATATAACTATCATTTAAAAAATAATTTCAATCTCATTTTGTGTTATTTGTATCAAACCAAAAGCAAATTATAAATAATAACTGTATTTTAGAATATTTCAACTGTATTTTTTTCAGCTTTCATGAAATAGTTACATGAAAGTCAATGTACTGTACAGTACTTAGAACAAGTTTAAACAATAATATGTCAGCTCTGCCAGTGATGTGCTTAGTAGTATATTATATACATATATACTAGCATAATATATTTATATATTAACTATAATATTTTCTGCTTCTAAAAGATCAAGTAAACATTTAAAAATAAAAAATTTTGATAATTTAAAATTTCTATGTACAGTTATATTTCTTTTTTGTTTATTAGTATAATTTTGTCTATTTAATAGAAATCTCTTACATTGATAGATCCATTAATTAACTCATCAATTAATAATTACACATATTATTAGTATAATTTATTAATGTTACCTAATGCTGATCGTTCATGAGTAACAAAAGTATTTTCTTCAATATAATGGCCTTGCAGTAAACCATAATTTATCACTTGTTGATGTAGTTTCAAAACTTGCTAGATTAAATGAAATTATATTAATATTTAAAAAGTAATAACTGCTTATAAATATAGTATTATTTGTTATATACATAATGTGCTTAAATGCAGAAAATTTTGTTAAAACAATATGTAATCACATTATTATAAATAATAAACCTCACTTATAAATTTCATAAAATCACAATTATTAGTTATTATTAAATACAAATGATATATTACGAATAATTGAACAAAATTATGTACAGGGTATCAGGGAAGCTGTATAACTCCACTTTTTGTTTTTGTAAAGGAGATACCAAAACATATTATATGTCAGAATATATATAAGGTATGTTCTGACATATACTCATGTCTAAAACTTGAGGATGGATAATAAAGACGACTGTAGATGAATGCAGGCAAATATGGAAAGAACTGTATTACTTGATGTCTAACACAAGATAACCACAACATACCTGTTACAAACTAAAGCAATAATTTTAAGTCTTTGGTGAAAAAGATATATACAGTAGTTGGACATAGGTGGAAAATGAATGGAAAGTGAGGCAGAGAGCATCTGTCAGTATGCATTTGCTCTCTGCTTTGTTCAAACATCTGAGCAAATTGATGCCAATTGGCTTGATGATTTTTTTCTAGTTATCACTGCTAGCAATTGTGTTTGTCCTTAAGTTTTGGATATGTGTGTATGTTTTGTATCTCCTTTACATGAACAAAAATATGGGGTTAAATGACTTCCCAGACAATCTGTAGAATTCATGTAATGAGTTTTATTATATTAAGTTATATTAAATCTTTGTAAACTCCAAATTTCAAAGCAATTTCTTTTGTAATAATATTAAACAAATCAAGCTTAAAATTAGTAGTTAAAAGTAATACTATTTATTTAATATTTTTGGTGGTATTCCATCCTTATGATTGTACTAAAATAATGTTATATTTATATTAAAAAAACTTCAAACTAACTAAAAATTTATACAGTGTAAATCTTACGACATTTTCTTAATGTAAATATCTCATCATTTTTATGTAGATTCTGAAGTTAGGGCTTCTTTAAAAAAACTTCTTTAAAGTAGTATGATAGTATAATTGGATTTGGAAATGAACTGACTTGATGATTATTCATCCAAAGATGTTTCCAGCTTCTGTGCAGCCATCTCCAGCATTGGGTAATATGAAGAATAGTATTAACAATATTATATAAATTTAATTATATAAAGGAGCCAATTTCATTCAATTTGACGATTTATTAAAGTTTTGTCACTGGAAGTAAAGGTTATTTAGCATTATCAATTTCATTCATTTTGAAAATAAACAGTACTACTTTTGACTTTTAAATTTAAGCCTGATTTGTTTATTTATTATTAAGTCATCAGTTATTTTCTTGTTATATTTTATTTATATACAATCAAAATATATATTTATGAAATTAAAAAACTTTTTTTATTTAATGATACTAAGTTTACATAATTTGGATATCATTTTTGTATTCATTGTATTAAAATACTTCAAAAATTCAAATAGTTTAGTTAAATCATGCTTAAACAGTTGAAATACTTTTATTTATAAAATCAATAATACAATTTTAAAAATATTAATATTGGTTATTTAACATTAACTATATCTACAATTTTATTTGAAACATTAGTTAATTTCCTTACTTACGGACTGCTTCTGGATTAAATTAGGTGAATCCAGTAATATTGAAACAACATCAAGAAACACCTGTAAAAAACATTTTTTAAAATATATACATATTTTTTTTAATCTGAAAGTTTGTATATAAATTTCAGACTAAAATATTATTATATAATAAATTATGTAATTTTTGTTCCAAACTAAATATTATCTTGCTAATAATCTAAATAATTAACAAAACATTATAAATTAAAATTAAAAAAATTTCACTTACTAAAAAGTTTCCTAATATAATTAAAATTTTCAAATATTGTAACACACAGCCAATATTCTTTATTCTTATTCTTTTCTATTAAATTTTATAGTATAATCTTCTTTATAACTGAATTAGTCATAATTTACAAATTAGACTTTACATTAAGATTTGTCAATTTTATTTTCAAAGAACAAAATGTTTCTATGATATCATTTGGCTGTAGTGCTAGAGTTTTGAGATGCTGCTATTTTTCTACATGCAAAATTCCTTTATAAACAGAAAAGACATGAATGTGATTTTTCCATTTGGCAGGATCTGTATTAGAGTTTGTATTTGTCCATTATTTTCCATGTTAAATTTTTCCATGATAAACTTTTTGGATCATATTGTTTTTTTTATCATTCTCAAAGCAATAATTCTAAATATAAAATGATAATTATTGTATTTCTTTCATTTCATCATATTACTTTTCACAAAAATTCGATATTGTTAAAATACCAAGTTTTTTTCATCAGATAAGAACAAACTATTTCAAATAAAATATATATGTCAATATTTATTGTGAAATTTCTTTACAGCTGTCCATCTCCACATCACTAAATTACTAAAAATGTCATTGCCTCAACTACTTATATTTTACAGAATTAAATATATTGTGAATTTGAAACTCACCTTTGAATTATTATGTATCTCATAATATAGCTGAAGATTTTTTTGTTGGTAATTTAAAACTTCTTCTAAAAAATCAACAACAGGTTCTCCCTCTGCAACATGATACCTTGTTTTCTTTGAATTTAAGTAACCCTTTAATTCATACAGTAATGATCCTATATCTGTTATTTGATATCCAAGTTTTAAACTATTAAACTATACATAAAAAAAACAAAAGAAAGTTTAAGTTATTAGAAGTTACTTATTATATTGTATTATACATGAAAAAATATCATATTAAGATTGAAATACAGTGGAACCTGGTTAATTTGATGTTGCATTTACTTGAAGTCATTTTCTTCACCCAATTTTTTAGCATAACATGTTAAATCAAACTGGTTAACCTGAATTCCTCAAAATTTTTTAACTTGAAGTCTGAATTTTTTCCCTAACTGATTAAAGTTAACCAGGTTCCACTGTATGTATATTAACTTTTTCATTTAATTATTATCAAACTATTATGCCAAAAGAAAATTTTAGTAAAAAGTATAATTTAAAAAATATTAGTCTAAATTTCTTAAATTTATGACTCAGTATTAAACTTTAATTCTCATAATTAATACACATGATATATCTTTTCATTTAAATATAATGAATAATATTATATTAATAACACATTGTTTCTATCATCCAATATGAATGTTGCATCCATATTTTCAATTTTTATACTTATAAGGATCAAAGTATTAAAAATAAACTATTTATATCAAACTATGATTGATGTGTAATGCTATGAAAATAACAATTAATGTTAATTATTAGTAGTTTAATATGCATAAAATGTTTTTATTACTAACATGATCAGTAGTTGTGATCAGAGTTAGCTCAAGGAATTGCGATTCCTTGAGTATACTTATGTGCTGGTACCATCATACTAATTATGTTATTATTTTTTATTGTAGGTCTTTTAAATTTTTAGTTCATATCCTAGAGTCACTCTTAATTGTAAATTGTACTTATAAAAAAATTGTAGATAGTAATAAATAGTTGCATAAACTTATAGACAATGTAGGAAATACACAGAAAAATAAAACTCTCAATTCATTTTTTGCATACGTTGCAAATCTCTAACTGTTATATCTATTTTGCTAGAAATTTTATAGAAAATTCAGTAAAGTGTTAAAGAATTTTATTTTATTTTATTTTAATATGATTTAAAATGTATATCATACTAATTCTTGCATGCATTTTACTTTGAAAATTTAAAATATCATCCTCTTACCTTTTTTCTAATTTCTAAAAACTCTTTAGAAAGGCATTCTGAAAAATTTGGTTTATCCCAAAAAGCTCCACTTTCTTTTTTCAAGACACATTGCCTTTTAACATTACCTAAAATAAAATTATGAAAATCAGTTTTTATGTAAAGGTTTAAAAAAGTATATATATATATATTTAATATCTTTACAGTAATATATTTCTATTTTTTTTAATCTGCTAAATCTGCTTAAGAAATTAAAGTTTATTATATTAAAATGTAATTTTTTATGCATTTAATGAATCTGATTTCTGTACTTTTACACATTATTGAATCCAGCACTTTAAATATAATTATCTCATTTTTTAAATATTTTACTTCATTTTTTTTAAGTTGAAGTGAAATATTGTAATCTTAATTGCTTCTCAATGTGACTATGATAATGATAAAGTTATGATTTTAATGTGATTATTCATTTCAAAATATTTTCTAAAAATAGCATTGATATCAAATTCCATATTGAATAATCAAACATTCTAGTATATATCCTATAATCAAAACAATCTAATATTAACTTAGATTTGCTCTTTCTTTCTTTTTGATGTAACAGAATACAAAAATTATGCTCAACACCATTTTTCTTCAACCAAAATAATCTTTTTTGTATTTTAACCATCATTTAGTTTATAGATATATGGTTCAAGACTATTTTATTTTACCTATCATATGTTAATCCTATGCACTAATATCAAAATGCCCATAAAGTTTTTGACTTAATATATGATTTTATCTGTAGTGTTAATAAAGATAAGAAGTAGTGGAATTTATGAATTTTATTGAAAAGAATCATAAAAAATATTCAGGATAATTAATTTTGAATTTTAACAAGATGGCTTTTCATTTGTCAAGTGCTTCAAACATACAGTTTTGATTTCTGAGATAATAGTTTAAACTGGATTTATTTTGTGTTATTTATGATTGTACATTTAGTTTTATGTCTCACTTAGCAAGTTATTTTTTTACAGAAAAAGTGTTTGAAATAAGAACTGGCATACATTATTAAAGGAAATAAATTTTATTAACAATTTTATTATTGTTTTATTTATTTGTCAAAACTGTATCTTCTTCTTGTTTTGTTTGGTTCAATGTCACGACTTGATGAATTTATTGACATGTATCTATATAAATTAAAAGTTGATGATGAAATTAGTTGCCAAG